TTGCTCCTTCACTTCCTCTCTGTGAAGTGGGCCAACTGCCCACGCAAGGGTGTCTTCCCCACCGGGTTCTTTGAGGAATACGTGAGGGCAGGTTAATGCCCAGCACACACTGGCCATTCTTACCAGTCATTCATTCATCACTCATATTTACTAAGTACCTACTATGGGCTCGACCTTGGGCTACAACAGGGGACAGGTAGGCAGCCCTGGCCCTCCCACCTGGTGCGTAGAACCCACTGAGGACTTAGTATGCAGCCCCTCTGATTACTGTGGCCGCCACTGAGACCTGCATCCTCTCCACGCGGCCCTCACTGGGCAAGCCCAGGACTCTGAATGCAGGGGATGTAGCCAGGACCCCCAAACACAGCTGCTGAGCCGCTCAGCGCTCCGCAGGCTCTGGGATGTCTTGTGTACATTCAGCCTGGCAGGTTCTAATTTATACTAACGTGTGTTTCTTAACACCCTCTGACAGTTTGGAAAGTACCACTAGGGATGACTGGGTAAACACGGAATTAGAGAAAGTTCTCTTGCAGAGGAAAAGGGAGACTGGGCGGCCCCTCTGTCCTCCAGCCCATGCCAGGCGTCTGGCTGAGCTAAGACAGTGCCTGCTTGGAGCAAACCACAGGCTTCCTGAGAGAGGCCGGCGCATGCCAAGGGCTTGCCGTGTGCTAGGTGCTGTGGCAAGCACTTTGTATTTATTATCTGGTTATATGGTTCCGGTAACTCCTGCGCCTGGCATAGTGGGCACTCAATAAATATTCACTGAATGAACACCTAGAGCATCTGGGCAGGACTGAGCCCGAGGCTGAGAGGGATGAAGTCGTCAAGGTGATTAGGGTCTCCAGGGCCCTCGCCAGCCTATAGGGAGCCTTTCTGTGAATCGGGACAAAGCGCCCTTGGGGGACATAAACCACTGTGCAGGGCTTGGCAGGCGTGCACCAGGGCACCCTGCTGGACGTGGGCTCGCTGTCTGAGTGGCCTGCCCCGGGGATCTGAGTGGAATGCCTGTCTGAGGTGTTCAGCCTCCTCTCCCTCCCTGTTGTCAGCACACCCACCTGATGGGTGTAACCAAGTTCAAATGGGGGCATTATCACCAGGGGGTGAAGACACCCACAGGGGGCCGCTCAGGACTGAGAGGGTGTCCAGGCCTGTGGCTCAGGAGAGCGAGGGCTAGGGACGTGGACCCAACTCCCTTCCCCACCCTCTGGACGGGACCCGCCACAAAGGGGCCCAGCGCCTGCAGACGCGGCTGGCTTGGAGCCCCACCTCTGGCCACCCTCCCCCTCGCAGAGAGGCCAGGTCACTCATGAGAGTTCTCACCTAGTCTGGAGGGGTACTTCCAGGCCTTGGGGGCCACCCTGGAGTTTGCCCAGAGCCTAATGAACTGCAGCCAAGTCTGATAAACCCCTCGTCAACACGCCACATAAACAGGCTTTTCCAGAATTGATTTTCTGACCATTCAGCCTTTTCGGTCAGGCCACTGGATGAAGGGGATGATGCCCAGGGGTCTCAGCCACAGAGAAGCAGGGGGTTTGCTCTCTGGGTTTGGGCTTGGGGGCTGAACCCCGTCTGTCTCAAAACAAACCTGCTGGGAACCCCTAGTGCTGTTGCTCAGGGCGTGAAGCTAAGTGCTGGAGCGGGGTGCAGTCAGGGAACTTGGGCTGCTCATCAGTAATCTGCTGTGTGACTTGCCCCCAAAAATATCTCCCCTTTACCTTTCCCAATGGTAAAATGATGGAGTTGGTTTGGATCAGGGTTGTCAATAGGCTTCCTCTTAAACATCAATGCATCTAGTATTAGAGGCTTAGGAAGTGACCTGAGGACTTGGAGGCGTGCCAGGACAGATTGGTAATGTCTGCTGTGGGAGCAGGCAGGGTGGAGTGCACTATGCGTGCCTGGATTTGCCAGCCCCGGCAGATGATGTCTGAGTGTGTGTTCAGCACCAAGATGCTGTTCGGCCACAACTCTGTCACCTCAGAATATTACTCAGGAGGCTTCAGGGAGATGGGTTTGAAGATGGGGGCTGATTGGTTCGTGCTGATTCACGCAGTCTTTGCTCGCTGTAATCCTGCAGTGCACCAGGGCCCCCATGCCCTTTTCAGTCAAGTAAAACCCTGTGCCTGGAACTACATCCTTCTTCAGTCACTGCCCTGTCAGGGTGGGAGAGGAAGGCTTGGAGATGTTGCCCCTTTCAAGGAGGTGCTGAGAGGCTGGGCTTTGGACCAGACAGGAAGTTGACTCTTGCTCCACCACTTATGACTACATTGATCTGGCCAAGAAATTTCACCTCTCTGAGCCTCAGTTTCCTCATCGATAAAATGGGGATAATTATAGCACCCACATAGGGTTGTGATGAGGATTGCACGGGATGCCTGTAAACTTCTAAATACAGTGTCTGGAACATAGTAGGCCCTCAGCCACCATCCACCTTCTCTTGGCGCATTTGGCACTTCCACCCCAGCAGACAATCAGCACCCCTTTTGTTGTCCCTGGGGGCCTCTGCTGAGCCTGACGTGGCCTCTGGTACTTTGGAGTAGGAGCCATGAGCCAAGCAGGGGGTCGTGGCAGTGACAATAAAAGCAGAGCTCCCCGTTCTCAGGGCTCCTGGTTGGGTGTGGGAGGCAGAGGGGGGAGGCAGGGGTGGGGCTCAGGCCAGAGCAGGGAGTTGCAGGACTGGGAAAGGGGGACAGTTGTACTGTCCCTGTCAGTCTGAATGGCTGAGGGGTTCACCCTGCTACTGGGCTAGGGGCTTCTGAAGGCACCACAAGGCCCTGGGAAGGGAGAGCCGGGCATGTGCTAGACTGGCAGGGCTGGGAGTAGAGACCCTGGGACATGTCATCCTAAGGCAAAGGGGGTTGGGGGTACTCACGGGTCTGCTTGGTGACTGAACCTGTTGGAGAGAAGACAGAATTTGGTTAGCAGGGAAGTGATTTGGGTGCCCCCTGCAGGATGGAGGTTGGGGGCTGGGGGCCGGGGAGTGGGAGGAAGGGACTTTAGGGTGACATGGGCCTGGCTAAGCAGCGTCCCCCGCCTATGCAGGGGGTTGAAATGAGCTCTGACAGCTCCACCTCATCTGGGATTTCTCCCTCACTTCACTTGCTTCACAACACCCCCCCCCCACACACATGCATATACACTTACACACATGCACACACAGACACACTTACACACATGCACACGCAGACACACACACACACACGATGCTCTCCTGGTTAAAAAGAAGCAGGGCTCTGTTGTGAGACCCACTGGGGTCTGAGGCTGACTCCTGGCTGTGTACCCGCGTGTGAGTTTTAGCCTCCTGGAGACCGAGTCTGGTTGGCTGCACAGGGGAGGCCATCACACACACCCCACCCCTCAAAGGCTGTGAGAGGGTCCGGTGCCTTGGCTCTGTGCAGCTGATGGTGTTTGGCTGGGTGGGAGTGCCTTTCCTGACTTACTGCAGCAATGGCTGCCTGCACTGGGCTTTATGGCCCATGGTCACTTCCTGCCGCCTTCTTTACACTATAACCGCTTGTTTCTGCAGTTCTGTGTCAAGGCCCCCCCACCACAGGGGCAGTAAGTCCTAGAGCACAAGGCCCCCAGTGACCAAGGAATGCCAGGGAAGAGCATTCTCCCTTTCTGGGGATCCCCCACACTTACACACTTCCCATTTGGTCCTCAGGGGTCTGTCCACCCTGGAGGGCTCCTACCTCCCGCCTCCAAGACCCTAGGAGTAGTATGTGGCCCAGACTGGGCCAGTCATAATGTTACATTCTTCGGGAGACAGAGACCTTCCCTGGGATGACATATAGCTTCTGGGGGAGAGAGGGGGGCCTCTTTCAGCTAAGCTGGGAGATGAGCATCTAGACAGCTGCCTTGGAGGGAAAGCTGCCCATGGAATGAGCTTGATGAGCAACAAGCACAGCCAAGAGACATGGAAGGACAGACTCTAGGGGTGTTATGAGAGCCCCTAGATCCAGCCATACCTGAAGCCTGATGCTCATGGACTTCCCAGCATATTTAAACCAGTTAGTGGTAGGTTTGTCATGCCATCTGAAAGAACCCTGCCTCATTTGTCAGGTAAATCAGTAGTTCTTAGTCTCCTGATTTCTGTGCCATGAATCCCTTTGGTGGCTTGGAAAAGCCCATGAACTCCCCTTAGAATAAATTTATTCCCATTTCTCTTGAGACATTTAGCGCTTCCTACTCTAACTGAGTCTGTGTTATTAAAGGCATAAAATAAAACAGATTGGATTAGAAAGGAAACCAACTATACATCAATATAATACTAAGAACATTAAAAAACAAATTTGTGCTGTAGTAATTATAGTGCATATTAATGCATTAAATAATGAGGTGGCAACTTGTGCAGTAAGGTTAGGCACTTCTGACATAAGCGAACATTACCCGGGCCTGGACACTGACAGGCCTTGACGGCTACTTTTCCCACTGGTTACATTTTCCACCACTGTAAGCATTGCCCGAGCCCCTGGATCATGTTAATGCACTTCTGTTTTTGTATATTCTGTAATCAAGTCTGTTTGTCTCCTTTGATTCAGAGGATGAGATGTGGCCAATTGTTCCTCATTTCGGGGTCCCTGGGACCTAACACAGAGTAGTCACTCAATGATGGTTGAAAGTATTGATTCATCAAAACACAGGTAGTTGAGATCTGGGAGGGAAACAACTTCGGGGGTTTCCTTTCAAACACTGCATACTCTGTCACCTCTAGAGGACACCCCTGAGCTCCACACCTGCTGTGAGCCTCCCCCACTGAAGGACCATCTCCTCCAAGGCCATCAGCACAGCCAAGTCCACCTTTATCCATAAAAGCAGTGTCCTGGGGCTGGGGACATGGGGGCCACCATGCATCTATATAAACCATCCTGACTTGGGTGGGGGCCATGCCTGACAAGAAGTGGATGAGATGAGGGATCTGAGACCTCACTATGGGGATTTGTGTCAAAGATGGGGTGACTGGCTTCTTGCTGCTGGGAAGCTGTGAGCTGGCTGGAGGCCACACAGGTTACCATGTTTGAGTGTCACTGGTGGCGGTTCTTTGAATTCAAGGACAGATCCAGAGGTATAAAGCCCTTCCGTTTCCCTCCTTCCTCTGAAAGTATCTGAATGTGGGAGACTTGGGTTCCCATTCCTACTGGCATCTACAAGAGAAATTTGGGCTAGTTTCTTAATCTCTCTGAGCTTCTCTTTTCTCAGACTACACAAAATCACAGCATGAGCTCATGAATGAGTCCACTCTGCAACCACACTGTGGATCGCCCCGTGGGGCATTTGTGCAGATTAAATAGACTATGCATGTAAGCAACATCCATCATCCACCCATCATCTGTCCATTATCTACCCACCCGTCATCCATCCATCCATCAGTCCATCCATCATCCATCTGTCCATCCATCCACCCACCCATCCATCCACCATCCATCCATCTTTCTTTCATTCATCAAAGTTTGCTGAGCATCTGCTCTGCCCCGGGTATTGGAGAGCTGGGTGCATGCAAGGTAAGACCCTTGCCTTCAGGTAGCTCACATTCTCAGGGGCGCAGATAGGCAACAACCAAGCAAGGCAGTAAATGAACAACACAGCGACGCTGCCGCTGCTGCTCAGAAGGAAGGAGGCTGAGGAAGGAGGAAGGGTGCGGCTGTAGCCGGGTGGCCAGGGAAGGCCCCTCCGAGGAGGTGACCTCTGAGTGGAGACCTGAAGGCTACGGGGCGCCTGGCGATAGGGAGATCTGCGCAAACAGGTTCCAGGCAGCGGGAACGGCAGTTGCAGCTGAAGCCACCCTGTGCGGAGAGGGTTTTCTCCCTCCCTCCTTCCCTTCCCTCTGTCCTTCCTTTCCTCCTTCCTGGGGGCCCAAAGGTAGGCCCACACCCTGCCATGTCCGGCCATCTCTTGGGTCCCCCAGGGATGAAGGAAGGACCATGCAGGGCTTAGCCCTGGCTCTGGTGCGCAGGCCCGGCTCCCAGCAGTGAGCCCCACTCACCCAGCCAGCGCGGCAGGCGGACGGTTTTCACGTTGAAGCTGCCGAAGCTGCGGATGAAGATCCACATAGTGACCATGGCGAAGATGAGGGCCAGGATGCGCAGACCTACAGAGCGAGGGCCCAGGTCAGACAGTACATGCCAAGGCCTCTCAGCGGGGCTACATGTGAATCCTACTGAATGCCCACAGCGGGACCCCATGTGGTGTCCAGGTCACGGGACCGTATCGGTGGACACCGTGTGATGACCTGGGGGAGGTATCACGCTGAAGAATTACGCGGCAGCGTCTCCCAAGCTGGGCCCACTGGGAGAGAACGTTAGAAATGCCCCTTCCTGGATCCCACTTCACCCTCCAGAGAGAGCAACTCCAGGATGAGGCCTGGGAATCTGCACCATTGGCCAGCATGCAGGTAAGGGCTGAGTAGTGTGGCAGGAAAGCCAGCCAGCCTTGGGAGGTGAGCCCTGTCGTGGGAGTCAGGGGGGCTGCACCTATTGCTCGGGCAGCCAGCTGCCGCTGTGTGACCTCAGGCAGGAGCTCAGCTTCTCTGAGCTGGAGGCCCTCAGTCACAGAGTGGACATGGCAGCACCCTTGCTCCTGAGGCCGTGGCTTGTTGGGGGGATGTTATAACTGTCACCAGTAGGCAGCCTCTAGGGTGGCTTGGGGGGTTGGGCTGGACTCCCACATTGTCCACCAACTCCCAGAGAAAGCCACCCCACATAACCACACAGTGCTGTCAGTAGGAACCGACGCGGCTGCCCTGCCTCGCAGCCAGGCTGCTCCCTGAGTCCCCGTGCGTCCCTGGGGAGCAAGCCCACGCACGGGATGAGCGCCCAGAGCTCCCTGTCCCACTCCCTTTCCTCTCTTCCTTGAGGCCAGAGCAGGCGGCTGCACCCGACCCACTGGTTCAAGGACACTAGGGGCCCCTGATGCCTTGGGGTCAAATCCAGCCATCAGGCCACGTCCCCTTGCTGCTCCCCTGCCTTTCACAGAGCGTCACCTTTCTCCTCAGCCCCAGATTCAGTGCTGTGGCCTTGTGCTGGCCTCTGGCTACTTGGGGTGGAAGGCCTCCTGGGCCCTTGGGTGCCCTCATCTTCTAGGGCCCAGTGCAGCCGTAGGCACCCAGAGGTCCTCTTGGGTATCAGCACACAGTGTACAGCCCCTTGTGCCAGGCACTGGGCAAGCAGTGTTTACACACATTAGCTCAGTTCATCCTCTCAGTAACCCTCCATGTTGGATGCTATCAATAATCCCCATTTTACAGATGAGAAAACTGAGGCTCAGAGAGGTGGTTGCTTGGCTAGTGAGTGACAGAGGTGGGGTTTGAACCCAGGGATGTAAGCCGACTCTAAAACTTATGCTCTTAACCCCCTCACAGCTGTTTGGGAATGCAAATGAATTGTGTCCACTTCCTGTTTGGTGTTCAGTTTCTCTATGTGCACGAAGAAGGTTCAGCGTGAGGGTGTGGGTCAGAAGACAAAGGCCTCTCCTTGCGCCCAGCCCTGTGGTGTGACGATTCTAGAATAGCCCTCCTGGAGGCAAATATCTTCTCCCTGATTTCCATCCAGGTTCGGGTGTTCCCGAGATGGGGCCAGGCCTCAGCTCCCAGCCAGGGGTGGCCACTATGCCAAGTGTGTTCAGCCCTTTAGCCAAGAGGCAGGAAGTGGCGCCCCTGAGCTGGTTTCCTCTTGGAATTCTGGCCTGACCATTTGAGAACAGAGGCAGCCAATCGACCTCCCAGTCCTGGTCGACTGATTCCAAAGCCAGTTTCAGACTGAGCCTCGAGCCTTAGCATTCCCAGGCCCTGACCCTACCTGAGACTCTCATCCTGTCCAGGTAAGGAGCAGCTTGGGGTCAGCGTTAGCCTGTGGGGAGAAGAAAATCCATTTGGAAACTGGCATCTGCGGTCTGAGAATGAACGAGGCTGAAGATCAGGGCAGGTCTCTTTCACGGCACAGATCATATCCTTTCGGGGTCATTCCTCACCACCTGCCATCTGCTCTCTCTCTGCCTCCACCTCTCCTTCCCTTTTGCCCCTGGAATTTTACATTCAATGCCACATGTCTTTTTCTGAGGGCAGAGCTTAGAGAGTCGGGGAAGCTGCGGTCTGCCAGAGGCTGTCTCTCGGAGGATTGACTCACTCACCCGGCCGTCCATCCATCCACCCACCCTTGTGACTCGCCAGCCAGCTGAGAGGCACCGAGCTAGCTGGCCTCTGTGGAACCATCAGGGGACAGCAACTCAAGTGATCTTTGCTGATGCCCCCAAATGAATAGTAATCGGCTTGCATATTGCACGTGAGTTTGTGCCGAGTGCTGTGTATTTATTATCTCCTTTCACCCTAACAGCCCCCCGTTTTAGGGGTGAGTAAGCTCAGACTCACACAGGTTAGCCCAGGGCTAGTCAGCTGACAAGGGTCAGAGGCAGGATGTGGACCAGGTCACCTTGGAAGCCCAACTGCCCAGGACCCCGGTGACTCAGGAGAGCCGGACTTACCGCCCAGCACCGAGGTGGCTGGGCTGGGGCAGAAATCCCCACCCTGCCCTCTCAGGCCTTCCAGGTGAGAAAGCTGAGCTGTCACCTGGTCCCACCCCAGAGATTCTGTAGAACTTTTAACTTCCTGAAATGCAAATTACAAACGTTTGTTTTTCCCCCCAGATATAAAAATATATTATGCTTTTGAATGTTCTCAGGTTTGTGACCTCCAGTGCAGGAGCTCAGGGCCCTGGATGAGGCTCGAAGGGGCTTCTGGGGAAGGGGTTCCCTTGTGTGTGGAGGTTCGAGGAAAGCTGGGGGCTGGATGAAGTGGAAGGACAGGGACAGGATCAGACAGACAGGGGTGAACAGATGCATGGACAGATGGGATATTCATAGAGATAGTGTGCCACAGACGTGTGTAGGACAAGGGGGAGAGGGAGACAAGAATACAATGTGCATGCGCCCAGATTCAGAGGCAGGGAGACAGTGGCATTCAGAGAGAGAGAGAGAGAGACAGGAAGAGGAGAGGAGACAGATAGGACGGAGAGGGTGGCGCACATACCTGATAGGGGCTTGACCCTGGCTGTCCACCTACGCCCAGCAGGGCTCTGGCCTTAGGGTGGGGGGTGAGGAGGAGCAGGGACAGCAAGGGCTCTTGCAGCCTGATGTCCCTCCAGGCACAGTGCCCGGCTATCTGCTCAGCACCTGCACGCGGCCCCTGTCGGGCTCCTGGGTCTGAGTCCCCACCGGTTCCCTGCGGCGGCCCATGTGTGCTCTGGAGCTGGAGCCCGGGACTGGCTGGCTGGGGTGGGGCCGGAGGGAGAAAGGCACTTGGGACAGATAAGCAGGGTGGGGCAAGAGCTGCCTCTGCAGCCACGCAGACTGGAAGTCCCTTTCCTCCTTGTTCCTGTGGGATTGTGGCAACCTGTCATTCAGGTTATGAAGTTGTGGGGCAAAGGCACAAGGAGAAAGGGCCTTCCGCCCTGCCCGCTGGCTTGGCCGGCCCAGGCACCGATCGGTGGCCCCAGGGTAGTGTGGGAGTAGTGCAGGGGGTGGAAGGTGGGGGGAGAGCAGTGGGTGGGTGGGGAGGTGAGGACAGAGAAGGCAGAATTGCTGACCCGAAGGCTTTGGCCCCACCCTCACTGTCCCTGAAGCTCTCCCCAGGCTCCCTTCTGATTGCTGGCTGCAGGTCTGGCCATGGGCAGAAGCCCCACGCCTGCTGTTTTTTTCCATGGCAGGCCTTGTCTCCTGCAGGCCTGCTCCAATGCCGAGCACTGAGGAAGTGCTTGAGTAATATTTGGGGACTGAATGAACTGGATTCTCGCTTAGCCCTCAGAGGTTAGGATGATTAAACTACCAGACAGAGAAGGAAACAGAACTCCAGAAAGGGCAAGTGACTCGTCTAAGGCCACACAGCTTTCATTCCTGAAGCATTCTCTGAGCACTTGTGGGAAGGCAGGCTGTGCATTATCATGGGGGGTATGGCTGGGAGCAAGACGTGCTCTGGGCGTGGGCCTTTGTGTTGCTAGTGCCTCTGTTTGAACACTGTTCCTCTGCTGCTTTGCCTGGAACACTCCCACTCATCCTTCAGGCCTCAGTGTAGAAGTCATGTCCTCTAGGAAGCCTTCTCTGACCCTCCAGAGTTCAACATCTGCCTGTGCCCCTTGATGAGGGACATGCACCATGCAACCCCCGTCAAAGAGGGCTGGCCTCTCAGCACTGTGATTTCTTTGTGTTCAGGAGGGAGTGTGGGACCCAAGCAAGACCAATCAGACTTTTTCCTGGGATGGATCTGTGGAAACTGGGGTGAGAGCACCTCTTTTCTCCTTGACGATGCTAAGCTAGACCTTGTAAGTCTGGGGTTGCTGGAGTCCCTTTCTCAGCCACGATAACACGTCACCTCCTGTTGTCGACAAGTCCCGCCAGAAGATGCAGACACACGGGCTGAGCAGCAGGGGCTATGTGTGTGGTCTTGGTCTTGAGAGAATCAGGTAGTAAAATGAGGTGGACTTTGGAATCAGACAGACATGGGTTTGTCGTCTACCAGTTGTGTGCTTTGGGACACACCTCTCTGGGGCTCCGCTTCCTCCAGTAAAATAAGAGTGATGCTGTTTACCTGTCTTAAAAAGAGTGTCAGGCAGGGAGGCCACCTGTGTAGGCGTTTGCTGGCCTGGCAGCCTCTGCCCCATCCTCCCTGCTGCTTCCTGCTGGCACAGCCGGATGGCACGGTTCCCACGAGGATGTTTGCTCTTTCTGCGGAACCACAACGCCATCACGACACCTCTGCCTGCTTGTCTGCGGTGTTTCTTAGTGGCCTTGCAGGAGCTGGCACGTTAGCTTCTTCCTGTTTCCTGGAGCCCTCTGCACACAGGTGTCTTTCAGCTCACCCATGACCTGTTCCGGAGCCAAGATGAACAGAGAAAGGGTTACTCTCTCTCCAGGCTGGGGAGTGCAGGAGGGCACCTTGATGGAGAAATAAGTGGGTATTTCCCTTGCCTAAATCTGGTCTGTGGTCCCTATTGCTCTCAGGATAAAGGCCAAAGTATTTTACATGGTTTATAAGGCCTTGCATGATTTACCCGTGACATGAGGTCGACCTTGCCAACCCCATCCTCTGCTGTCCCTCCTTCGCCTTCCACTCTAGCTGCCCAGGACTGCCCTGCATGAGGCCTTCTCCCTCTCCAGCTCGGCGTGTGCTGTGGTTCACCTGGGCAGCTCTCCCTTGTCCTCAGGTCCTCCCCCAAGCAGCCTTTTGTTATTGAAAAGACAGGACTCAGAAGCTGTTTCCCGACAGGTCGTGAGGAGCCAGGCGCAGCCAGCAGTCACCTCTGAATCAGCCCCAGGCCGCAGGTCAGGTGGAACCTGAGCTCCATGAACAGGCTCCCTGACATGGGAGTCAGCCACAGGCTCACCTCTGCTGTCTGTGCCACCAGGTCATTTCCAGGGGACGTGACCTAGCAGCTGGATCCTGAGCTTGGAGGAATAGGGCCGCAGTTGACACCAGCTGAAGCTTTAGGGCTGCACTGTCATTAGCTTTAGCCCCTTAACTTTTCCAGCCAACAATCAGGTTCCAGTGCCTCTTCCCAGAGCTGCACCCCAAATTACTGTCCAAATTCCAGATCCTATTTAGACTATACCTGGGGGTGACATGGCAAGGAGGTCGCACCTCCTCTGAGAACCCTCCCCGAGCCCTGGCTGCAGGCCCTTCCCGGGGGTCATGCTTCACCATCAGCCCTGCTATGGGGCTCGGCGTCCCCTCCAGCCAGCAGCTCTTCATCCATGTGCCTGGTCCTCGCACCAGGTGCGTAGTAGGTGTGTGATTTAGTTGTTAGAAGGAAGTGAGTGCCTTTCTGTTTGGGAAAGAAAATAGGGGAGGAGAAGGGAAAAAAAACAAAAAGGAAAAACCCAGAACTACTCCCTCCATTTAATGGCTTCTTTCTTTTTACCTCAAGCCCAGTATTTTTTGCAAAGTTGAACTCTGTCCAGAGGACATGCTCAGACTTTAAAATCTAAGGGGCCTCTTCTGGCTAAATTCAAGCCACTGGGCCATTTTCCTTATCATCCCTGGAATTTCTGTGGGCCGAATGTCGTCCCCAAAGGCAGGGGGCTGCTGTCCTGCTGTCTGTTCCTCCCTGTGCTTATTTGTGTCCAGCTGTGAGTGGGCAGACAGTGTATTCGTCATGGCAAGGGACCCATTCTGCATGCGTGGGTGTGGGAGACAGAAACACACAGGCTGGGGTCTGTGGATGGAGGGGCCAGCAGGGTCCCAGGGGAACAGACTCAGGGAGAAAGAGAAGACTGAGCAGACAGATGTGAGCAGGACGAAGAAGAAGCAAAGACACTGAGAGACTGAAAGTGACAGACACTGACAGACACAGTGTGCCCCGCGGGTGGCCGCTCTGCAAGCACGTACAGGTGCACACACACCCGTGACTCAGGGTGCTGCTAAGCGTCCTGCTGATGACCAGGCGGGGGGTGGGTAACCCTGTCCGGACCCACTTGCCCCTTGTCCTGAGTTTTCAGTCATGCCTGAAGGCTGTCCTGGACACTGAGCATCCTGGCCCAGGCCTGTGTGCGGTAATCAGATAACCGGAGGCTGCCTTTCATTCTCTAAACTGTCCTTCTTGTAAACCCCTGGTATTTATAGGCAATTATTGATCATGTCACCAACAGAGAGGGAGATACACAGTGAACAGATCCATAAACAATAAGGCTAGCTGCTCAAACAATTTGTTCCCATGACGTTTATTTTGGCAGGAAATAAAAGCCTGTTATTTCCATTATGCCCTATTTTAATTTTATTTATTGGTTTTAATGGTTTTCTCCAGCTCTGGCCAATGGTGGAATTAGTGGGCCATGCAAGGCCGCACAGCAGGGGTGCAGGGAGACAGGCCGAGGCATAGGATCCTGAGGGCTCTGCCTCCCCAAGTTCCTGGGGTGTTTTCCAGAGTGAGACACCAGAGCCAGCATGCCAGCCACTGCTCTGAGGCTCAATTTTAACTAATGTGATCCTCAGCAGCCCAGTGAGGAATTGAGGGAAACGGAGGCACAGAGGGGTCAGGCAGCAAAGCTGATGAAAGTCAGAGGAGGAAAAGATCCAAGATGAACCCACGTTCCTCACCACTTTGTTTTACTCCTCTGGACCAGTGCTTGGCAGTCTTCTGCAAAGGACCAGAGAAAATATTTGGGGCTTTGTGGGCTGTATGGTCGCGGACACGAGTACTCCACTCTGCAGCGGGACAGCAGCCAAGGACAGTGTGTCAATGAAGGAACATAATGTGTCCTAATGAAACTTTATTTATAAAAACAGGTGGCAGGCTGGATTTGGCCATGAGCCGTGGTTTGCTCTGGGTGCCGCCCCCTCTCAGCCCCCGTGCTCCCAGGAAACGAGCCCTGGTGCTCCCGTGCTGAGCCCCTGCCTGCCTGGGTTCGGCTCAGCCGCAGTGCTGGAGAAGGAAGGCTTCTGTGGGATCCACGAGGCTTCCTAAGACTGTGACGCTCCCCCCCGGGCTGCCGGGGTGCCCTTTGGCGGATCCACTCGCCCACGCTTGCATAGTGCGGCTCAGCTGCCTGTCCTCTGTCCTGACTGGAGTTTCAGAGAAAATTTCCTTCTAGTTCGCCTGACCTGATTGTCACTGGAAGGTGCCTTCTCCGTGCCTGGCACTGGGGAGGCCCTCAGGAAATGGCAGCTCTAGTAGCCGCGTTGCACCTGCAGCTTTGCAGAGGCCTCATCTGGCCTGGGGATCGCGAGTCTCTATAATTAGGGTGTTAAGCATGGGCGCTTTGGAGCCCCATCTGGGATTTGCCATGGGACTGTGGATGCAGTCCTCTCGGCCTTGATTTCCTCAACTGTACCTGGCCATCACCCTCCCTAATTTAATAAAAATTCAGTCATTTAATAAAAGCACACCCAAAGCATAACCTCTGGGACAGAGGAGTGCTCTGTAAGTGACAGCTGTTAAGCAGACCTCGTGCCCTCTCCCTTGGGGGTGCCCCTGGGTCCCCTACCCTCCTTCCTAAGGAGGCAGAAATCCCCCCAGGGTGAGAGGCAGACGTGCTCTGAAAGGGAATGCGTTCCTCCGGGCCCTGACAGGGCCCAGGGGAAGGCGCGGACATGGTCTGGCCATGTGTGCAGCCCCTTCCCTCCCCTCCAGCCTCTGGGCGTGGGTTGGTCTTAGGCTGCTGGACAGCTGTTGGGTGCATTAGCCAGAGAAGCCAGCTTGTGCCACCAGACTTCCTCTTTGCTGCGTCTGGCTGTGCATCAGCAGAGAGTGCTAATGGGTCAGGGCTGGGGTTCTGGTTCTTTCCCTGAGCCACGGCAGGCCTACTGTTGGCCTGTC